AGAGATTCAACATGGAGAATGCAATGGCCGTTGGCACGCCCCTTGGAAGTCAGTTCAGGTTTTATGAGGAGCAGTCACTCAAGACAGATGCAGAGATGGAGTTCATAACCATAATGCCAGACTCATCAACTATTGGTAGTCTTATGTATGCAATAGTTTGCACGAGGCTGGATATCACCCATGCAGTGAGAGTTATGAGCAGGATTGTCAGTAATCCAGGGAAGTAGCATTGGGAGGCTGTGAAGTGGATATTGAGATACTTGAGAGGGACTAAAGATATGCCACTTTGCTTTAGAAGAAAAGAATTGGTATTACAGGGATATTTGGATGCAGACTTTGTCGGTGTTCATGATACAAGGCGAAGTACCACAAGGTATGTTTATACCTTAGGGTCAACAACAATGAACTGGGTCTCACGTTTGTAAAAGATAGTGATGTTGTCCATGACTGAGGTAGAGTATGTCGCAGTGACTGAGGCTAGCAAGGAGATGATTTGGTTGACTTGGTGTCTAGAAGAGCTGGGTCTAAAGCGGGGGAACGGAGTTCTTTATTATGATAGCCAGAATGTTATACATATTGCCAAGAATCTTGTATATCATACCAGAACGAAGCACATCGATGTGCGTTACCACTTCATACGCTCGTTGATAGAGGACGGGAAGTTACTTTTAGAGAAATTTTTGGGGAGCCAAAATCCTAAAGATATGTTGACAAAGACAGTAATCATTGAGAAATTAGAGTTGTGTGCAACTTCAGTTGGCCTTCATACATAGGAGATAAGGGCAAAACTACACTAGGAGGACATGTGGGATCACCAAAAATGATATTGATTAAAGAAAGAAATTTTCCGGGTAGAGAAGGTGCTTGCTAAGATGGCTGGAATTCAAGAGGGCTTGTTGATGGGGGTTTGGCCTCCAAGTGGGAGATTGTTGGTTTTGGTGGTGTAGATCCAAACTTGAAAACAATCATGCACATAGCAGGAAGAGACCGATCAGTCGACTGATAAAGATGCATCCGTCGACCGATTCAACTACTAGAAAAGCATTTACAAGAATATCTCTGGTCGGTCAACTGATACAAATAATCAGTCGACCGATAGGTGTCGGTAGGAATTGACTAGAAAAATCCGCTCTAGTCAGTCAACCGATGCAGAGCTATCGGTCAACCAATAGCGGATACATATACAAAATAGATTCCTAGTCCGTTTTGGTTTTAGAATTTTTTTATATTAGAACTATGTGCGGCTATTCATTATAAGAGCGTCTTTGTTAGAGATTTTTTGAGTACTTTGAGAAATAGATCTCTGAGAGAGAGGTAGCCATTTGTAAGCTTTGTAATCTTCATCAATAATTAAAAGAAATTCTGATATGGCTCTTGAGGACGTATGCACGATTGCTGAACCTCGTTAAAATTTGGTGTTCTCTTCTTTACTTGTTTTTTCCTACATCTTTCATTTTTGCTGTTATTTCTTGCTTGCTAGTTATTCTTCACAAGATCCAAATGTCACATTGCATGGAGGTTTTAGATAGGTTGTCAATAGAATAACCCCAACAGAAATCCCACCAAAAATTCTCTCTTTCTCCTTCGTCATAGTTTCTCCGATCACAAAGGCCCTCCGATCGATTCTCCTCTAACCAGAAATCCCACCCAAAGTCCTCTCTCCTTCCCTATAGTTCCTCTGATCACAAATACTTGTAGCCCTAACCCCTAAATCCCCTTTGGTGCAATGATGGCTTCGAATAGATTGAATGGGTCGACATCCATGATTTCTTCAAAATCATCAAAATCTTCCTCCTCTAAATGCAAGAAACCTTCTTCTTCGTAAATAAATTTTGTGTTTATTTGAAAGTCTATTTAAAAGTCACTTAACCTACATGATTTTCCTAGTTCTTTCTATTGTTTGTGCTTAAGATATAAGATTCCAAGTATTTATTTAATTGACATGATATTCCATGTTTTAATTATGACGCCCCTATTTTCACACATCGCTGCAGTCTAAGGTGAACCCAAAGATGTCAAATTATCATGCACCTATACTGTACGATAACATGTTTCACCAATCATAGTAATATCCTCTAGTGGAATCAAAAATAAAGTGCAAGTACAATATAGGCAAAAAGAAGGAAAAAAATACAATAAATATGATGTCGAAAGATAAATCTCATAAGTGAACTCATGTCTCAACTTATAAATATGAAATACATCTAATAACTAAAAAGTGTCTCAACATGAATCAAATAAAAATCGTACTAAGGCTCACAGCCTTTACAATAAGAAAAACTCTAATGTCTGAACATGAAAGTCAACTATAGTGGAGTCTCAACTACTATATCTGAACGATGGTGACAATGTTGGAAGTCCGTCAACCTGCGGCTCTCCTAAGCTTTGAACTGGCTGAAAGGAAAATTTAAATAAATAAAATAATAACAAGAGCGTCAGAACGCTAAAGCAAGATTACCTTCATCGGAAATCAACAACACGAGACGTAGTATGTCGAGTGAAATAATCTAAACCAGGAAACCCTCATGTATATACCATATGTCTTAAATTATAGATAACTAGATATTAATCCCGAACTATGAAAAGAAACATTACTAGAAAATAAGATACTATAATGAACATCAGGAGATAAGTCTTATGTACTCACAAGAGTAAGGTATCTCGGTCATATATATATATATATTCAACAGTGTGACATAAACACTTTTGGCATCCACCAAAACTTAGGTTATTAGATAAGCTTATCATTTTAACTCTTTGCAAGATTTTGATCTCGTCGCAGTATCATACACAACGGACTACCCTGTAGGTATCCTAAATTAATGTACACTGCTCATTAGGCTCATCGTGATCTCAGTACGTAACATGAGTGTGGGACGGCCTACCTTATAGATATCCTAAAAGACGGCTCACAAGCCTCACCGCACCCTCATGCAAACGGACTGCTAGACAAAGCATCCAAACCTGACTCAATGGCCTGTACAAATAGAATATCGACGCACTACCCTACATAGTACTGAACTGAGCTCATCAACGATATTCATCCCATACATAAACTGTATAAATCTGGTATACCGATGAACTATCTCATATAGTACTGAGTTGAGCTCATTAACGACATCCAACATGTATATAAACTACTCCAACTCAAGTGTAATCACCTAACACTTGTCAAATCCCCTTTGGGATACTCACGTGTTTGCCACGACACTATTCATGTATATTCATGTCTATACATATACTATTGAGCGACTCGAACCCCGCGATCGCATCTCAAAACATAGTAACAACATATTCAGGAAAAGTCTTAGTAGTCGACTACTATCCTTAGTAGTCAACTATATTGAGTCCATCCAGACTCTAAAATTTGTAGTGTCAAACCTAGTAGTCGACTAGTAAGCACATTAGTCGACTACACTGTACTAACTCAGTTTTTTTAACTCTAAACTGGGCATGAGTAGTCGACTACTAAGCTTAGTAGTCGACTACCCTGTCAAAACGTGCACTCTTTCATGCACGAACATGATTTATCATTTAACTATACTTCTCATGTGATTTAATACGGAAAATCAAACATGTAATATTCATCAAAAAAATGAGAAAATTATCATGACCATGAAACAAACTTGTAATTTGCTCTAATTAGGGATTAACATCTTAATTAATCAAACTCCTCAAATTAGTTCTTAATTAAACCATGATAATTATTAACACATGATGATAACTACTCGTGAACAGAAGTAAAAATCTCGTTTATGCATGTTCATCTGTCATAAGAATCACAAACTTAGGTTTTTAGCATAATTAGCTTACAAGAAACCTCAAATAACAACAAAGTAGGGTTTACTCATGAGTTAAACACAATTATCAAGTTCAAAACAAAATTAACACAGACCCTAATGATCATGATCATATTTCTATCACCAACAGCAAAGATTTACTTTAGATCTAGCATAGGATTAAGATTTATCATTAAAAACCAAACTTTAACGCCTCGGGTTAAGATTTATGCATGTGAAAACCAAAAATTTACATCTCAAACTAGTTATTTATCAATGGGGATGAGTTTGGATGAAGATAACCTTGCCTCAAAGTGGTGTTGATCCCTGAACACGTGCACGAAAGATCCCTCTTCTTCAAAATGCCAAAAATTTGTCTTCCCCTCGACAAACGCCTCAAGAACACACCCTAAACTTACACTTTTAGGGTTAGGGTTGAAGGAGGTGATAGGCTACTGATATTTCACATGTAAGGTGAGAAATTATGGTTGAAAATGAGTATAAACACATAGGTTAACGGTCGGGTTCGAAATAAACAAAATCAGCCCGATACCAAACCTGCTCACACTAGGAAAACTCCCGATAGTCGACTACTAAGCTTAGTAGTCGACTACTAAGCTCAACTTAAGTTTTGTAAATTATTTACGAGCTCAGTGTAGTCAACTACTAAGAGCACTAGTCGACTACACTGAGTCTGTTTGCCTGTGCAAACTGATTCATTCTCATACTCGCAAATATATACGTCGAATTGATCTCAAATTAATTTCTAGTGTACTCAAACATCAAAAATATGTTATTTATCACAGTATAACATATTAAATATTATTTACCACAATATACTCAAATTTACGGGGTTTTATATTCTTCCCTCCTTAAAAGAATTTTGTCCCCGAAATTCCATAAACGAATAATAGAGATTTCCACACTTAACAGCCTAGAATGTGGGTGTTCCAACTTAACTCCTAACTAAATGGAACTAGTACGTCGGACGAAAATTCCAAACAAGGGATCCCCCATATATATATCATGTATTCCGAATGATTAGAAGCTAAGTACAATTATTCCCATTCTAGTGATCAATATAAATATGTCCATATGATAATCATATGTAAAATTAAAGCATAATCAAATCAATCAAATTACCTGCTCAAACAGGTGTGGGTAGTTGCGATGCATATCCTCCTCGCGCTCCTAAGAAGCTTCTTCAGCCCCTTTCCGGTTCTATTGAACCTTAACCAAAGGTATCACTTTTTTTCTAAGCTTCTTGTCCTCCTTGGCAAGAATACATACAGGAACCTCTATCGTGGTCAAGTCGTCATTAAGCTCAATCTCTGGTGCATCTAACACTCGCTGTTGCTCCTCATCGCGCAAATGCTTCTTAAGCATAGAAACATAAAAAACATCGTGTATGCTCAACATTGATGTGGGAATCTCTAGCCGATACGAAATGGCTCCAATGCACTCAATAATCTTGAACGAACCAATATACCTCAGGGCTAGCTTTCCCCACATATCAAATTGCTGAACTCCCTTCATCGGAGATACATTCAACAATACATAGTCCCTTATATGGAACTCTAACGGTCGTCGCCTCAGATCTCCATAACTCTTCTGATGACTCTGCACTACAAGGATGCGCTCCCGAATCATATCTATCTTCTTTATAGTCTGTCTCACAAGCTCCGGTCTAAGTAATAAGCTATCCTCCGGATATGCCCAACATATCGAGGATCTAGAAGGCCTTCTATACAATGCCTCATACGGAGCCATATCAATCGTCGCTTGATATTTGTTGTTATAAGCGAACTCAACTAATGGGATGTGGTCCTCCTAACTACCCTAGAAATTAATAATGCATGCTCGCAGTATATCCTCCAATATATGATTCACTCTCTCTATCTAACGATCCGTCTGTGGGTGGAAAACGCTATTGTATGATAATTGGCGTCCAAAAGAATTCTGGAAACTCCTCCAGAAGTGAGATGTAAAGACTGAGCCTCGATCTGATACAATTGTCTCCGGGCCTCCATGTAAACTGACTATCTCCCGGATGAAAATCCTCGCATACGTCTCTGTCGTATAAGTCATCTTCACAGGTAAGAAATGTGTTGACTTCGTCAACCGATTAATTATCACCCAAATAGAATCATTCCCCTTCTTTGATCTTGGCAACTTACAATGAAATCCATAGAAATATCTGCACACTTCCACTCCGAAATGGGTAAAGGCTGTAGGGTTCCTGCAGGTCTCTGATGTTCTGCCTTCACTTGTTGGTAGATAAAACACTTTGCCACATACTCAGCGATCTCTCTATGCATACCACTCCACCAAAAATGCCTCTTCAGGTCCTTGCACATTTTCGTTGTGCCTGGATGTACTGTATACTTGTTACAATGCGCACCATCAAATAAATCCTTCTTCAGGTGAGGATTGTTCGGCATGACTAACCGGGCCTTCATTCGAAGGCCTCCATCTGCTACAATAGTCCAATCAGCTTTGGGCTCTTTGGAAATCTTCCCCTTTTGGGTTTGAATCCAAGAGTCCTCTAGCTGAATTCTGACCACTCTGTCACTCCAAGATGGCTGTATTGACATAGCTCCTAAAAATACGCTGCTCCTGCCAATCTCTGGTCTGAAGTCAAACTGACTGAGGGTGTAAAGATCTCGATGTAATGAACACCTCAAAGATGCAAGCCCGAGACGATGCTTCCTACTCAATGAGTCCACTACCATGTTCGCTTTTCCCGGATGGTACTGTATAGAGAAAATCATAGTCCTTAATGAACTCAACACATCACCATTACCTCTGGTTGAGCTCCTTCTGAGAGAAAATGTACTTCATACTCTGGTGATCCGTGAAAAGCTCAAACTATAATCCTTACAGATAATGTCTCCAAGTCTTCAGTGCGAAGACTACTGCTGCTAACTCCAAATTATGTGTAGGGTAATTCTTCTCATGAGTCCTTAATTACCTCGAAATGTAGGTCATAACTCTCTAAGTCTACATCAAAACACCTCCAAGGCCCGATAATGACGCATCAGTGTAGACAACGAAATTCTTATCACTGCTTGAAATAATCAACACTGGCACTATAATCAACTTAGCCTTCAATGTATCAAAGGCCTCCTGGCACTCCATGCCCCAATCAAACTGTACACCCTTCTTCATAAGATGTGTAAGTGGCGTCGAAATCTTTGAGAAGTCTTGAATGAACTTCTTGTAATAGCCGACCAGACCTAAGAAGCTACGAATCTCGGTAACAGTCTTTGACTCCTAATCAAGAACGACCTCCACCTTAGCCGTATCTACTGTAATGCCCTTCTGGGTGATAACATAGCCTAAAAAACTAACCTTTGATAGCCAAAACTTGCATTTGCTGAACTTAAATAGCCTAAAAAACTAACCTTTGATAGCTAAAACTCGCATTTACTGAACTTGTCGTACAATTGATGCTCCCGCAAAGTCCACAATACCAAACAAAGATGTTGCTCATGCTCTAACTCTGATTTCAAATATATGAGAATGTCATTGATAAAAAAAACAATCACAAACTTGTCCAAGTATGGATAAAACCCGATTAATTAAATCCATGAATACTGTGGGTGCATTGGCCAGCCCAAATGGAATAACAAGGAACTTGAAAGACCCATATCGAGTCAGAAAAGTGGTCTTGGGAATATCCATACTTGGAGAGTCTGATACGGGTGTATCTTCTCTTCGGGAACTTAACGATCCTCATCAGAAGTGTGAGAATAGATGATTCTCATGGTATCTTGAGAATGGAGACGTGGAAGAAGTCGTCGAGGGCGGCAACGTCGAAGACTGTAGGAACGAACATAAGAAGGCTGTTGGTGCTTCTGCGGTCGACCACCACGATCGACCGCAAACGTGCACGAAGCTCAGGAGGAGCTGGAACTGAAGGCGGTCGACCGCCATGATCGACCGTACATTTTCGGTCAACTGCCACGATCGACCGTGCCATGACTGTAATCAAAACTGCTCTCGGGTTTTTGGTTCGGTCGATCGCGAATCAGCCACGGTCGACCACAAGACTTTCGCGATCGACCACCGCGATCGACCGCAACGTAGTTTTGGGCCTGGGCCTCGTTTCCTATACTTTTTAGGATTTCTATTTGATATAAATAGAAACACGACTTTCCTAGGGTTAGGGAGTCAGATTGTAATTAAAAAAGTGATCAGGGAGCTTGTTCTTTGATCTAGAGAGATTGTGAGAGAGAGATTTGTAATCTATTAATTCTCATAATCTAGAGAATTTGATCTAGAGAGATTGTGAGAGAGAGATTTGTAATCTATTAATTCTCATAATCTAGAGAATGTATTTTTCTTCGCCCAAATCAACTCTTTTGTGTGTTCTTCTGTTATTTTCTTCGCAACCCACTCTTGATAATTCCATGATCAAGGGTGCTCGCACGGCGACTCGTATCAAGTTGGTATCAGAGCAATCAGATCCTGTAAAGGGGCATCCTATGTATGGTCCTTACTCGATCACAGTACAAAAAGCTTGGCGAGATCCTTATTTCATTGGAAGGAGTCCAAAAATTAAGAAAGGAGAAGATGACTGAAGCAAATCATTCAGCAAGACTTAATGCCATGGAGAAGCAGATCGAGACGATCGGGACTACTCTCAGCCAACTCGTAGGTCTCATCAACAGTGGGGACAACTCTGGGGACAAAAAGGAGGGTTCTTCTTTGAAGGGTAAGAAGAAACTCGTCGAGTCCGAAGAAGAGCACGAGAAATCTGATTCAGATGGGGAGATCGATATTGTTAAGACTTCTGGACATCAAGGGGGTAAGAATAATTACCAGAATTTAAAGATTGACTTCAAGGTTGAGATTCCCGTTTATGACGGGAGTATCAATGTGGAGAAGCTCGATGATTGGATCGAGCGTATGGAGATGTACTTCACTCTCTACGGATATTCATCCAAGGAGAAGATAGTGTTCACGACTTTGAAGCTTTCGGAGCATGCGTTGATGTGGTGGAAATCCTATTGCAAACAGGAGAAGATGGTGGTGTCGTGGAACAAGTTTAAGGAGCTACTTATGGAGCAGTTCTATCCAGTGGGGTTCCTTAAGGAACGTTGGTACAAGTGGTATGGCTTGCGCTAAAAGTATAATCAGACTGTTCAAGAGTACACGACAGAGTTTCAGTAGCAGGCGATGGTTCTAAACATCACAACAGACGAGTACTCCATCTTTATGAAGTTCATGGCGGGTCTGAATGATTACATACGGAAGGAGATGAAGTTGTTCTCGGTCGAGATGATCGCAGAGGCGAGCGTGAAGACCATTGCCATTGAGGGCAGACAGAAGAAGGGCAACGAGATGAAGGGAGACTCCAAACCATCGGGGGGGCAAGTCGGGTGGCTCTCAACCTAAGGACAAGAAGAAGAAGGGGGACTCGGGGAAGGCACGATTGACATGCAATCACTGCAAGCAGACAGGACACATGGCTGATCGTTGCTGGGATAAGTATCCTCATCTGAAACCGAAATGATTGAAGAAGAAGGAGGAGAAGAAGGCGTACGTGATAGCACAGGGTCCGAAGGAGGTTCCTGAGATGACTGAACCCAATAGCAGTCTCAACCTTATGGCGGGGAATCGGACCACTAAAGAAGACGACGACCCGAGGGAGCAGCTTTTTGTTCTGAAGTTACAGGTCAAGACTAGTTTGGTGGATGCTATTATAGATACAGGAAGCCAGAAGAATCTGATATCTGAGGCATTAGTACAGAAGCTGGGATTGAAGACGATGAAGCATCCGAAGCCCTATCCATTAGGGTGGATTCAGAAGGAGGCGGGATTGAGTGTGGTGAACCAGTGTATGTTCAGATTTGCACTCCATGAGTCGTATATTGACGAGGTCACATGTGACGCAGTTCCGTTGGATATTTGCCAAGTTATTTTGGACAGTCCTTACTTTTGGGATAGATACGCGGTATATGATTGGCGAGCCCAAAAGTATACATTCACCAAGGATGGTGAGCAATTCATTTTTCGTTCGGCATCTCTTCCACAGGAGACAAGCTTGATGACGGTGACTCAGGCTAAGAGGTTGGTGAATGCAGGCAGGAAGTTTGTTTTGTTGTTCATTCGGCCTAATGAAGAGCAGCTGAGTAGGATATGCTTGTCTACCTTGAGCAAGCTTCAGGAATGAGATCTTGACAGGTTGAAGGCCAAGTATGCGGACTTGTTTTCGGAGATCACGGGACTACCACCACGTCGAGGTGTAGAGCATGAGATTATATTGACCGGTGAGAGTTTCTTGCCAAATATAGCCCTATACCGCACATCAGTACAGGAGTCTGAGGAGATCAAGAAGCAAGTTCAGGAGATATTGGAGACGGGAGTGATTGTGACGAGTTGTTCGCCTTGTGGGTCACCAGTGTTGTTGGTGCCCAAAAAGGATGGAGGCTGGCGCATGTGCGTGGATTATCGGGCGCTCAACAAGATAACCATAAAGAATCGCTACCCATTGCCGCGGATTGATAATCTTATGGAGCAGTTGGATCTGAGCGAGGTTCTTCACAAAGTTGGATCTGAAGTCTGGCTATCATCAGGTGAGGATTCGGGAGGACGACACTTGGAAGACGGCGTTCAAGACCACGCAGGGCCTGTTCGAGTGGTAGGTGATGCCATTTGGATTATGTAATGCTCCGGCGACTTTTATGAGACTCATGAATGATTTATTACGACCTTTCATAGAGGATTTTGTGATTGTGTACCTTGATGATATCTTGGTGTACAGC